GAGAAATGTCCATGCCCTTTTTAACTTGTAATTTATTTAAATTAATTATGAACATTAGTTTAATCTCAAAAGTACATTTATTAAATTAAATGTCTCTGAAACAGCAAGTAGTGGATCTGCGCTCGAAAATGCAGCCTAGGTGGAGTAGTCGAACACAGATAAACTGATCCTTCAACACAGAGCATCTTCAGAAGACAAGCTGATAAAATATATTTTAAAAAATCTGTATTGTTCGATACAAGTGTGTATTGAACCTAAAGCACTGTATTGTACGGTTCGAGTTATATTGTTCTGCATTGTTTTTTATACTAATATAGTTTCATATGTGCATTAAAAGTTGTAAAATCAAATTGCAGAATCTTTATTTACACCCATCGAAGAATGGCCATCACAGCTGATGACGTGTCACTGGAGAACATCATACCCATCTCTCTTGACTTTGCTGTTGTCGAAGGTAAACATCATTTCTATGTTTCCCACTTCAGCTCACATGCCTTTAGAAATAAATGTCCTCATAACTTTGTCATAATTATTTGCACTAAAAAATCAAGACGTCGCTGCAGTAATAGTCTTGATTGTATCCTCACATGGTTCTTCTGCTGCATCCACTTTTAGTTTCTTCACCAGAGCAGCTTGTGGTTGTGGGTGAGTTGGCTTCGTTTTGTTTTTTGTTTTTTTAACTAAGACGCAGTCTTACAGAAGCTGTAAACTATCTAAAAATAAACACTGTATCTGATTAAAGGAGCTGATACCAGGGTGAGAATGAACTACAAGGACAAAGAGTTAGAGGTCCGACTTCCTTTTGGGTCTCACTCTCGTCTGTTCCTCGGTGAARTCAACAAGGCGTGGAGTGGTATGTTAAAACTGACAGACACAAACACTTTACAGGGGGCGGAGCCTGCAGACGTTATTTGAATCTGCAGTTAATGCAAGAAAAACAACAGCACAAACATAAACTCGTGTTGYAAAAACAATTTAATTGGCAATTTTCTAAATTGGTTAAAACATCTAATTATTTACTTTCACCATCTACTTGGAGGAAAATACTTTAGTCTGAAGATAAAATGATAAAATATATCAGAAACAAAGTTGTGACAGATTGCTGATACCTGAGTTTAGARCAATGTTTATCTCAGCGGCATGTAAACAGGAAACTTCCTGTGTGATACTTATACTGAATTAGTTCTTTCTGGGCATTTGAAAGAACAAAGAGGTATTTGGCTTTAAAGCAGAGGAGCCCAAAGTGKGGCCCGCKGGCCAAATTTGGCCCGCCAAGCCATTTGATTTGGCCCACCAACAGTTGCCAAAGTTACAAGGTTGTAACCTGTTATCCTATAGAAACACAGTATTTCCATTGGTCAAATGACTATATAAAAGGGCTGTAGTGCAGGTATTCATTCATGGTGCTGACATATCTTTGATTTATTAGGATTAAACATGAAACATGAAATGACAACAAGAAATATTTAGATCAGATTTAACCCCAYATGTAGATTTGCACACTTTACAAGGCCACAAAAACTCATATTTTATCAATTTATGATATGTCCCATGAGCCTTTGCTACTTGAGTGCATGGCAGACTTTCTCCAAGTTCACAAATTAAAACAAAAGAGGGCCATTGCATAGCTTAATCGTTAAAAATAAAGGACTTTACTTTAAAAAGTATTTGTATTTCATGTATTATCTTACTGCATTTGGCCCGCAGCCCTGGATAGATTTTCATTTTGGCCCTCTCGGGGAAAATGTTTGGGCACCCYTGCTTTAAAGGATGTGYCACATTYTGCAGGAGATTCTTTTGGAGTAAAAGAATCACAAAAACAACTGATAAAGACCAGCTCACTTCAAACTGAGCTGTTGACCTGACACTGGAAAGGATAATAATTATAATCAACTTCTTTTGGTCTCACTGTTTGTCTTTTTTTTAAAGATGTTTGCAGGTCTCCCATGCAGGTACCTAAGTTTGAGTGGATCAACAAGTACAAGAAAGCCAGCAGAAGCCAGGAAGTCATGAAACAAGCCCACCTACCCATGGGCAAACCTCATAAAAACAACCTGCACCACAAAACAGGTTTGTCGTCTCTTTCTTATTTGCAAATTCTCAAAGCCAGTGTCCCCATGGTACCTGTAAAAATCATTGATATGTATCAGGGTTTCCAGAAATGGCGCAGAGTGCACATTCCTGGCTGCTTTTGGCATCACAGACCTGCATCATAAAGTTCTAAAAGTAGCCTACCACTTCCTTTGAACACAACCTGTACACACAATTTTGATATGCTGCTGACATAACAAAATCTAATAGAAACATAAATTTAAAAAAAAGGCAAGAACAACCAAGGGTCGTATTCATTTGTTTTCAATGCAAACACACTTGCTTTCTTCTGATCATGAAGTGGCTCAATTCATCCAGGTAGACATCATTTTGTGTTTTTGCATCGTGAACAATGATGTTTTGACATTTATGCAAAACACACATGCACGAACGCGAGCGCGCACACTCACAACATACACACTCCAAAATCACATTAAAGCCTGTTCAGAGTGCCGCTAAAGGACGCATGAAGTATTGCTGTTTATGTTCATTCCTGCGTGGAAGTGCCAATCCCGTGTTTTCTTTTGTCTTTTATAAGTGCACGAGCTTTAATTTCCTATCATTGATATAATGAGCGACTTCCTGCACGCGCGGCGTCCTCCTGTCTGTCGTAGCTCCTCCTACTATCGTTAGCATCATGGGGCAGGTCTGAAAACACTGTACATTGATCCTCTGCACACATCATCACACACTATGAGCGGCAGCGGTAGAAGGAGATATCCGGTGTGGTGATGAGAGCCTCTGGTATGAAAAATGAATCCTACAGCGTCGTTTGTTGATTGAAGAGGCGATAAGCGCAGAGAGGACCAGGCAGTGATAGCTGGGATTATGAGCTAGCCTGTTATGCTAAAGCTAAGGACGCTAAATTTAGCCAAATATTATTTCGGGGACTTATCGACACACGTCAGCAAGGCTGAACWGTGTCGTTTACTTCATACTATAGCATAGGGGTACCATACATAAATAGCTACCTTTTTAAAATGAGACAAAACGCGAAGCTTTATGTGGTAAAATGTAGCAGCTAATGCTAATGCTATTTAAATGATGTCGCTAGCAGTGACCCACCTGTTGATGTGAAATACGACGAATGCTAGTCTTTTTTAAATCTGTTTACTGCTTTATTCTCTGTTTTTCCCCTTGTCTGTGTATTTCTCTTTAAGCTCCCCTTGTTTGTTAAGCCTGTTAGCTAAAATCAGTTGTCTGTAAACTTTACCTTTCTCGGTGAGTAAACGTTTTCACTGATTGCTTATCTTCCATTCAGCTTCAAATAAATCCAAGCTTTTCACAAAGAACGACATAAAATAGTCTAAATCAAATGAAGAGTAATTGATGGGGGGRAAAAGAAGGTTTGATGTTAATTATCGGTGCATGTATTTATTGCTGGAGGCCCGGGAAGTTGTGTAAGACTGAACTTTGTGCTTTTGTAGTAGAAATAMGTCGGTTCACGTTTAATACGGAAGAGTCTGACCTGATAAAACGTTCTTGCTGATTTAACCGCAGATAAAGACAAATGCAATGCATGGGTGTGTGAAACTGCATGTTGACCATGCAGCTTTCCTGTGGTTGACTGCAAATTTTGTTACTGGTTGAACATAATGCATACGCAGTACTGAAGTAATCCATGTTAATAACAGAAGAGGCACACACAGCAACTTAATGTTACAATTACACACCTTCAATGTAGTAGTTAGGCAAAAATATAGTTTTGATTTGAGATAGTTGGGTTGTTATTATTGTTTCAAATAACTACACTTTGCACATGTAAACAGCTTATTCATAAAATATTTTACATGTTAGACTTCTGTAACTTTTGCTGCTTAGGATGTTTATTGCTCAGCATTTAAGGGTTAAAACAGGTGATAATATTTGGTGTGTGTGTGATGCCTTGGACATATTTTGATGAAAATTGCAGAAAGTAATTATTGATTGTTCATTTAAAACTGAGTCACTTTTGGAGCCAACCAAATATCAAAGGCCACCCATGCAGCTGACTCTAGAAAACATGAAAAATGTGTATAATTTGGTCATTATAACAGTTATTGTGCAAAACATGCAGCAATGTCCCAATACTAGAGACGTTTTTTTTGCCCTCGGTTGAGAATATGAAATGACATCACCAAGGATAAAAAGTGATATTGGTCCAGAATATTGGGGTGTTTTTAAAAGTAAAAAAAGTGTTTATTTGAGTGAGACCAGTGTCGCGCCTGTCTGTACCGGGACACCACTAAAAACATGTGTTGGTAGTGGCTGGGAGTCTTTTAAAAAACATGCTCTAATTTTGACAGCTTGCAATATTTAATTTGTTTTTGCATAATATTGTTTTTTTAGTTTGAGAAATTGGCTGCATCTCCAACATTACTCAGCAGAAGATGATCTAAGCCTAAAACTCTGGTATGAAATACCGCAGGTGATAGACATTCGTTGGCCTTTCAATTTAAGGTTGGATTTTACCACTTCTTTTTATATTTGTCTTATTAGTTATCTTGGATAACTCAAGTTAACAGCTACTTGTGCATTGCATGCACCATTAAGTTCTTCTTATTCTAAGTTGTAGCATTCCTGAAGGGCAGTCTTCATACATGATTTCACAGTTTGTTGCAAGTTTTCTCAGTCAAGCAAAATCCTGCCCCTCTGCACACTGTAAAGTTACTGGATGTTAACAGAGCTGTATGTTTGTGGATCTTTATGGGCTGTTTTCCTTTAATAATTTTTATAATGCTAAACATAATCTCTGCTATTTAAAGCCTTTATGACTTCTTGTAAAGACTGGTACATGCAGCAGGTCTTGTCATGTTTTCCTAATTCTGGTAGTTTGATATTTGTCAACACTGTTTTCATGAATGATTGTTCTTAGAAAGAGCTTTACCAATGTCTGACTCACAAATGCTCTTGAAATGAGGTGCGTACTGAGTCTGACGAAACCTTTGGGAWAAGATAACATGATAATATTTTAGTAAAAACAGAAGACATTTTAATGCCTTGCAGAAATGCTTTTTTTATTTTGCCATGACTGTGTTTCCTTTCTCAAAACAAACTGTATTGACTGTGACCAGATTCCAAATAAATCTTTAGTTGCCAATCAAAATCCTGTGTTAATGAATAAGGCTTCATTGTTTAGGTCATTATGATGCATCATTCAAATGGAGTCCTAATGTAGAGTTCAGTGCTTTTTTTTTTTAGAGTTTGAATTTCTTTTCAGAAGTCTTGGTTTTCACTCTTATAAAAGCCAGCTGTCTGTGCTGCCAAGTTGCCCGAGACAGGGCCTGTGCTGTCTCATACTTCACACTCAGCCTTCAAATGCAGCTACTTAGGATGCAATAACTGTAACGAAAGTGTGAAAGGCCTCCAGTCTGTTGAAGGCAATAACTGAGCCCTAATTGGAGAGTAATAAGCTCAACTTCATTTATTTCATCATAAATCATAAGGGGTGCCAGTTTACTCAGCTGAAATGTTGGTTCACTAACTGGTGACTTGTTTAATTATTATTATTGTTGTTGTTGTTGTTGTTGTTGTTGTTGTTGTTGTTGTTGTTGTTAAAAGGGACCTGTGTAAGCCGTTTTTTTGTGTGTTGGTAGTTCTTAAAGAACACCTGCTAAATCTATTGCTTTTCGTCTTCTTTGTCCATACAGAGAAATCGACTGATAAAAAGGAATCTTTAGAAAAGTTGAAAACTTCTAATAGTGCCACACAGAAGTCCAAAATACATTCCAGCCCAGAGAGGTAAGTGTTTTATACTTCATCTTGCTTAAAGTGGGACTGCATTATTTTTGCTCAGGGATGGTTCAAGTTTGAGAATAGTTTCCTCCTAAAGTAAAGTGGCTTTTATTGGATGGCTTATACATTCAAAAGTAAATTTTACTAGCTATTATGGCCTCATAAGACCTCAAAAAAGAATATAATCAAGAAAAAAAACATATCTTTTATGTTTTTTTTTTTTTTTTGTATCAGCTGAACAGAGTTTTCTGTATAGATGCAGGCGTGTCTCCACCCTGTCAATAAAAGGTCAAACTCAAAAGCACTCTCCTCAAAGAGATTGAAATTTGGTTTGAGGGATAAAAAAAAAGGGAGTCCAGATAGAAGCGGTGATAATACATGTGCCTGCAGCAGCTTCAACTTGTTTTCATCTTCACTAAACACTATTTCAAAAACAGCCTGTGTATTAAACTTGTGTCAAATTTGTAGGAGTTCACAGAATGATTCACTGTACAACAATCTGTTTGACAAGAAACTGGTATAATGTCTCCAAATTTATACCTTTTTTAATAAGAAGTATTTCTTAATTAAATCAGCCAGGCAGAAAGATATGAAAGGGTATTTTTATGATAAGTGAAAGATGGGACAAAATACTTTTGTGTTGCCATTTGTTCTATATTGACCAACTGTTTTCTCCTTTCTTACGGTATGCAGTTCATACGTTTATAGTCGAGAGGACCGGGATGATCTGGTGCGCTCATCCAGCCACACAACATCCAACAAAGCTCAGATACTGACCATGCCGCAGTTCGGACTACGTGACAACCTCATCAAGTGTGAGCTCCTGAAAAATGAGGAGTTTTATACCTATCGAGAGGACTATAGGTAAAAATAAATAAATAAATAAATAAATAAAATACAGTTCTAAGCTGGTTTGGATCTGAAAGTTTTGTCAGTAACATTTTTGCAAGTTGGTTTGTGCTAAAAACTCATTTTTTACACTAAAACTCTAAAGCAGGGGTGTCAAACTCATTTTCAGCTAGGGCCACATGAGCATTATGGTGGCCCTCGAAGGGCCAGTCGTAATGAACTTTGATGTTTCATGTTTAACTTTGACCAGAGTTTTAACTCGTCCTCTTTTAAACATTGATAAGAACTAAGTGTACGACTGACTAAATCTGTAATAAATACAGAAATATTATTAAAAGTAAAACAAAAAAGTTTTACTCACTGATGAGTTTCTAGTGAGTAGCTGCTTTATGGCAAATTTAGTCTATGTTTGATGATGACTTTAAAGCAGCTTATTTTCAGACATTAGTACTGTGCTATCCAACTAAATTGCTCAGTTACTTCAAGTCAACAGCTCAGGGACTGGAATTTTTTTAAAATTTATTTTTATTTAATTTATTTTTATTAAATTAATTTTGTTGCGTTTAACCATAAATTTAAAGTTTGCCATTGACATGAGAAACAAATTTCATGTTAAGTAAAAAAATAATTTTTTTGGGGGTGGGGGCGCGCACGGGAGTCACTCACGGACCACATTTGGCCCGCAGGCCTTGTGTTTGACACGTGCTCTAAAGTGTTTGAAATTCAATTTATTGAACAATTTCAAACCATAAATACTAAGTGTTTGTTCTTTACCTCAATATTTTAGATTTACTGCATTTTAAGTCTCACTTATTTACCTCTAGGTTTTCACTTTTAGACCAAAACCTGAATTTAGGAGGGAAATCTGAATATTTTAACTTATTATTTCGTAACTTGTTTGGTTGAACACGGTTAACAGTTAAAACCAGAAAAATAAACGTTTCTGATATTTCACGGTGAAGTCAGTGGGTTAGCAGTTTCAATCCATTTGTACAGYGTAGTTGTCGWACATTTTCAGCCTTAAAAGTGTTATAAAAAGGATGAATCAACAGTTGTGGGTTAGCAGTTGGTGTTAACCAAATTAAGCAATACTGTCGAGATGCACCGATGCAGTGTGCTTCCATTTTGTTGCTCAACTTGTTGCTCTTTCAGAGTTTCTGTGAGGCAAAGTCGTTTTAATGTCCACTAGGGTTTTTTTATTGGGTCTCGTCATTTGAACATAAATATGTTGCTGTTTATTTTCTGAATACTGCCTCCTGCYGGTACATCTGTGTAGCTATTTAGAGAGCTATGCAGAGGTTAAAAGAATTCATAATTCATTTGGTCAGCATGATGAATGAATCTTAACATTTTCATTGTTTTGTTTCCGTTAATTACTAAGTAAATGCATGTTAAATTGTTTAAAATGTCAATTATGTAGTGCTTAGTGTGTTTTTCAGTCATTCATTAATTCATTTATTTTTACGAGATAATTTCTTGACAATCACACAGTGGTGTATGAGCAACACTGTGGGGTTTACAAATGTGGCCATTGAATAGTTAAACAAGTTAAACAGTTCGACCATTTGAAAGCAAGCACTCTGACTTACAGCCAAATGAAAGTTCAAGTTTCATCCCATACATCAGACACACAGCACATACTGATTAGGTCATTACAAATAATTTTTATGGGTGTGAGTTTCAAAATATCAGGACTTTGCTTGACTTGGAACTATCCCCAATATGCCCTGAATGTTATAAACATTCTTGAAATAAAATACAGAAATTGCCATTAGGGGTGGGAATCTTTTACTATCTCATGACTGGATTTGATTCTGACTTTTAGGGCCTCGATTTGATTCAAAATCGATTTTTTTTTTCATTCAAAACTGATAATCTGAGTCCATTTGTCGTCTTCCCAAAGTGCTTCATCTTCATTTTGCAAACCTTGCAGACAGTGAAGCTCGTGTTAAACTCAGACTCATTCAGTAAAAACCGAAATGAGCCCAAATCTTTGCATTCAAATTAAGATGGGGCCAGTTGAATATCTTTCCTCCAGTTTTATAGTTTCCTCTTTGTTTTGGTGCTTTCTGCGCATGCGTATGCCATACGAACCAGAACCAGCTGTGTGGTGACGACAGGACGTGCCATGTATTTATAAAATGGAGACTGAAACCCATTGGATTTGCTTTAATTATTTATTTTTGTATCGATATTGGGGCATTTTCAATAGATTCTGAATCTTTGTAAATGAGAATGACGATTCTAATGTGAATTGATTATTTTTGGTACACCCCTTATTGCCATGCTGAGTAGAGTGTTAATATAAATGGTAGCCATTTTCAACAAATGACCTAAATAAGCTGTACTGTTCTGGCACCCATTTGTTTSTTTGCAAACTGAGAACATACCAAATAATCAAGCTGATGGAAAGCAGCAAATATTTCTCTGAGTAATGGAGGCCAGGCCCATAAGGATAGAAAGTGTACTGATCAGTGACAATCTGTACACAATAACTACATGCTGACCCTGAAACATGGACACACAACCACAGACTGAAAGCCAAATGCTGGAAGGAAGGAAACTGGTTTGATTGTAGACCTGCAAAGCAAGTGGAGATGTAAATGAAAAGGGCTTGGCTTTCCCACATTGTGACTGTGGGGCTGCTGACTGTTCAGTAGACAAGATGTTGGTAATTTTTTCTGTGTCCTCCTTGTCCTTTTTATAGTTCTGTTCTGGTTTTGTATTTTGCTTCCACTTTTGTTAGCTTTTACGGTTTCACTGGAGAATGTTTAGTTTTATATATAACATAGTTAAAGAATCAAGAGATAGATCAAGCWGTTTATCAAATTTATATTATTGCCGTACCTCATTTTACATAAAACTAGTAGAGTTGTCCCTGGGAGATTTTTGGCAGAATCATCATCGCAAATGCTACATATGTTTGACTCGCTTCTGGTACTTTACTGTTCTCAGCATGCAAATGAAATAGAATGATGATGATAATGGGACATGCTGTATGGAAACTGAAAGACAAAAGGTATCACACGTGGCTTAAAAAGTTATGTATTTTTTTAAAGAGGCTTCATGTATGAGTGAAGTTGGCAGACAAAACCTATGAGAGGTCATAGACACTTGTCTCGCTGGTTATATGCTGAGTGGTTAAAAATCGCTTTCATTTTTTGATATTTTTAATCAAATCACATCTGTCAGTTGTAATAAAAATGCAGCTGTGCACTTTTTTCATGCAGGACATCAAAGTTTGTTGGTAAGATCCCCAGTGTTGCAGTTTTATCCATATACAGAAGACTGGAGTCTAATTTCATCATTCATTTTCTTTAAGTGGAAATCACAAAAAAGAAAACGTAATTGTCTGACCTGGATCAGTGTAAGTTCTGATATTTCTCTTGTACTGTTTCAGCTTTTTTCTTGGTACGTACAATGTAAATGGACAGGCACCAAAGGAAAGCCTCTGTCCTTGGCTGAGCTGCACTCCCAACCCTCCTGACATATACTGCGTTGGGTAAGTCAGATTCACCCTGCTGAAGAGGAAGAGCACTGTTATTTCTTGTTTAATCCCATTAAAAAGACAGACGTTTGCTGCTCAAACCTCTGACAGACGCCTGCAGCCATTGAACTGGTTTTAAGTTMAGAATATGCCCACCCACAGTTTCCAGACGTACAGGCCAACTAATCCTGCTTACCTGTCAGTTTACTGCTTTTGTTGTAAGGGAGTGAGAACGTTTATTTAGCAGAAAAGCAGTTTTGGATGCTGGAATCAAAGTCTGTCTAATTTTTTTTTTTTGCCTGTTTGGGTGTCTTTGTAGTTTTCAGGAGCTTGACCTCAGCAAAGAGGCTTTTTTCTTCACTGATACCCCCAAAGAGCCGGAATGGACAAAGGCTGTGTCTGAGGCTTTGCATCCAGATGCTAAATATGCCTTGGTAAGGAAATGTCTTGTTTCTTCACTCCTGCTTTTTTTTCCCTATATCTTGCTCTCACAGAATGATTTATACATTCTCAAAGTTTTTTTTATTCTATTATGGGAGCCAGTAGCATTTTTATATTTTTAACAAAACAGTTTTAATAGTCTTGTTACCCTTTTTTTTTTGATAAGTCAGATCCTATAATGTGTTACTTTTTCTTTCTACAGTATTTTCATTATTCAGTTTCATGTACAGTACTTCCCTTTTCTCAGAGTACCAGCTCTGCCTGTTAACTTCCTTAATTGTTTGTTTTTCTGGTTAACTTGTCTTAAGGATTCACAGAATGTGTCATAAATGACAACTCGTTTGAAATAACTTTCATTTCTTTTTTCTCATTTGGCTAATTACCACAGACGCAGTTTAACCACTTTTAAAATGTTTTCATGTTAAATTTGCAGTGTTGATTTGTGTTCGATTGAGAGTAAGGGTCAATTATTTAACAATCATTTTAGAGAAGGCATGCTTTAATGTTTTCATAATACTGATACAAGCAGCACAGATGTAACACATCAGCTAAAGATGTACTGATATGTTTTCATATGAGTTTTAATTTATATTTACAGCAGGTAAAATAAGTATTGAACACGTCAACATTTTTCTCAGTAAATATATTACTAGAGGTGCTAATRACATGAAATTTTCACCAGATGTCGGTAACAACCCAAGTGATCCATACATAAAAAGAAATCAAACCATAAATGTCCAGAAATGAAGTTATTTGTAATAATGTGGAATGAAACAGGGAAAAAGTATTGAACACATGAAGAAAGGGAGGTGTAAAAAGGCATGGAAAGCCAAGACACCAGCTGAACTTTCTCAGTAATTAGAAAGCAAGCCTGCCCCTTGTCAGTGCAAGTTAATATCAGCTGGTTCAATCCCAAATGATGGCCAGGTATCACACAAGAACCATCTGATGATGGGTAAAAGTAAAGAGCTCTCTCAAGACCTTCACAACCTTATTGTTGCAAAGCATAATGATGGCATCGGTTACAGAAGAATGTCTAAACTTCTGAAGGTTCCAGTGAGCACTGTTGGRGCCATAATTCAGAAGTGGAAAGAACATTATTTCACCATAAACCGACCACGACCAGGTGCTCCTCGCAAGATTTCTGTCAGAGGAGTGAAAAGAATTATCAGAAGAGTTGTCCAAGAGCCAAGGACCACTTGTGGAGAGCTTCAGAAAGACCTGGAATTAGCAGGTACGWTTGTTTCAAAGAAAACAATAAGTAATGCACTGAACCACCATGGCCTGTATGCACGCTCACCACGCAAGACTCCACTGCTGAAGAAACAGCATGTTGAAGCTCCTTTAAAGTTTGCTGCACAACATTTAGACAAGCCTGTGTAATTCTGGGAGAATATAGTCTGGTCAGATGAGACCAACATTGAACTGTTTGGATGCCAGAATACACATCATGTTTGGAGGTCAAATGGCACTGCACATCAGCCCAAAAACACCAGACCAACAGTGAAGTTTGTAGATGGGAACATCATGGTGTGGGGCTGTTTTTCAGCATATGGTACTGGCAAACTTCAAATAATTGAAGGAAGGATGAGTGGAAAAATGTACAGAGACATTCTTGATAAAAATCTGCTTCCATCTACCAGGATGATGAAGATGAAACGTGGCTGGACATTTCAGCAAGACAATGAGCCCAAACACAAAGCTAAGGAAACTCTCAGTTGGTTTCAGAGAAAGAAACTAAAGCTGCTGGAATGGCCCAGCCAATCACCTGACCTGAATCCAACAGAAAATCTATGGAAAGAACTAAAGATCAGAGTTCATAGAAGAGGTCCACGAAACCTTCAAGATTTGAAGACTGTTTGTGTGGAAGAATGGGCCAAAATCACACCTGAGCAATGCGTGACACTAGTTTCTCCATACAGGAGGTGTCTTGAAGCTGTCATTGACAACAAAGGCTTTTATACAAAGTATTAGATAAATTTCAGGAAGTGTGTTCAATACTTTTTCCYTGTGTCATTCCACATTATTACAAATAACTTCATTTCTGGACATTTATGGTTTGATTTCTTTGTATGTATGGATCACTTGGGTTGTTACCGACATCTGTTGAAAATTTCATATCATTAGTACCTCTAGTAATATATTTACTGAGAAAAGTGTTGACATGTTCAATACTTATTTTACCCGCTGTATATCATTTGCTGCTTCAGGTGAAGTTGGTGCGTCTGGTTGGCATCATGCTGATCTTCTATGTGAAGAAGGAGCACGCAGAGTTCATCTCTGATGTGGAGGCTGAAACTGTGGGCACAGGCATCATGGGAAGGATGGTGAGAACTGCTCCTACTGAGCTCTTTTTTTCTACATATGATCTTTTATTAGATTATTACAAAAGGTACTGAGTTTGTGAGGGCAGCTGTGATCGGAGCTTCAAGTAGGCTGGTAGGTGCCCCATTAGACCTCAGGATTAAAACAAAAGAAAAAGATTGTTGCCGTCTTATAGTTTTTTTATCTTTATGCATGCTTGTCAGAAATATGATGAGATCAAATCTTTTCTTTGAAATGTTGCAAACTTCTCTGTCATCTGCCAGCTTTTGGTCATTTTAAGTATTGCTTTACTGTCATGTAACTCTACTCTCTTTTTGCTTTTGATTAGATTAACAGCATTCTGACTGGATTTTTCCCAACCTGTTTTAGGGAAACAAGGGTGCTGTTGCAATCCGTTTTCGGTTCCACAACTCTAATATATGCGTGGTCAATTCTCACCTTGCTGCCCACGTCGAAGAGTATGAGAGACGTAATCAGGACTACAAGGATATTTGCAGTCGACTCCTGTTTCGTCAACTCGATCTTACCCAGCCTCCACTCACAATCATGAAGCACAAGTATGTACCGCTTAACCTTTATTGTAGTTACACATAGAGCTGGGTGATGTGGGCTCTAAGCAGTTCCTTCTGTGGTCTTGTTTTTTGTGACCTCTTAACAAAGAAAGCTGAGTGCATCAATAAGTGCATGTAACAGAAATGCTTGAAAAAGGCACTTCAGAATCATTTTATGACTGATATTTGTTACAACCAACTATCAAAAGTATAGTAATAAAATAAAGTATTACTGAAAATCAGAGGCATGAGATCATGATGTGACTGCAAAGTAAAACCGTTAAACAGTCAAATCAGTGCAAAAGTGATTTTTGTTGTTTATTTCCTGTTTTGTACTTTTGTTGTGGATTTATTTGACTAACAAGTTATGCAGTCGGATCATTTCATCTTTTTATTTCTGTGAGTAAACATGGGAGTGTTTAGCTGTTCGTGACATTTCAGTGTTTAAAACAAATTCCTGTGACATTTTGGTCAGGACATGCTTTGCTGATCCCCACATTTTGTTATTCTTACTTTCAAAATCAGAATCACTGCTGGATTGACATTTCCAGTTCTGTTTTTCTTCAAAACTAAAATGTTTGTTCATTTTTAAATCATCCTCTGTGGATGCTTGTTAATACAATGCTCCTATTTTTTTCTCTCTTGAGTGTCTGGATGTTCAATTCAATTCAGTTTATTTATATAGCGCCAGGTCACAACATACGTCGTCTCAGGGCAATGTACACAAAAAAATGTAAAAATCCAAAGAAGCCAGCAGATTGTGTTGAATCACTTCATCACAGTCTCACATCCTGAGCAGCACATTAGTGACAGTGGAGAGGAAAAACTCCCTTTTTACAGGATGAAACCTCCAGCAGAACCAGGCTCAGGACAGGCAGCCATCTGCCTCGACCGGCTGGGTTTGGGACAGGAAAGAGACACAGACAAACAGAAGAACTGGTCCTGGTGTATTTTCTTCTGGAAGAGAGACAAAGAAAACATGTTATTGATAGAAATAATTACTGCAAGCTCTGCCTCTCATTCTACCTTTAGAAACTCGAGGAACCACGAGTAAACCTGCAGTCTGAGAGCAAAGGGTATGGAGGTAAATTTGTGTTTTTATTATTCAATCAAACAAAAAGCATCTTCAATCAAAAAAATAATTTCAATCAAAAATAGTTTTTTCAACCAAACAAAAAATAAATTC